TGCCGCTTCGGGCCTTGCCGAGGGGCGTGTGGGCTCAGCCGAGGGCCCGGCGCGATCGGTTGTGAGAAGGAGGCTCCCAGGGGAGCAGCGGAGAGTGGCTGCTGTCAGTGGTGTGTGGCCCTGGGCAGCTCCGTGCCTGCATCTCTACTAGGTGGTCACTGTAGCTCCTGGAGGACCTATGACAGCCCAGTCAAAGATCTTTTGTATCCCGAGCCTGATGTGATACCCTGGCAAGGCTTTATTCGCCAGAGTTACTCAGTGTGGATTTTGAGTGTAGTGGTGTAAGCCAAAAGCAGAGAGGAGACCCCATCAAAGGCATCCACTGCACCTTTCTGTGGAGCTGAGGGGTGGAAGCAGAGCAAGTCACCTCTGCAGGGCACAGACCCAGTGTGGCTGCTGCCATTGCAGAGTTTGGGATGTCACCTCAGTGTGTCTGAGACTGTCCACTTACTGAGGCTAAGCTTGGTGATGTGCCTGCTCTGGACAGCAAAGGCATTCCCAAACGTTCATAGGAAGCCTTAGGACTGAGTGAAACCTGAAATAAAATAACGGGTCTGGTTCAAAAACATATTTGCTGCCCTGACTGCAGTGACTGTGCTCCTGGATCTGTACAGTGCCTATTCCAGAAAGCTTAACCTGTGGGAGAGGCACCTGGCAGGAGAAGGAAAATTCTCTCCATGCTGCTTTCCAAATGGAGAACCTGAAGTTAAGCCCTACACCCCACAGGGTTCACATTAAAAATTGGGAAATTCTCCCTGTATCCTCTCAAGAGAAAAAGGCTGTCAGTAGTCACAAGGCGGTTCTGGGCTCAGTTTTAGGGCCAGTGGTCTTTAATGCTTTTGCAAATGCTCTGGATGCAGGAATGTATCACAGAATTGCAAAAGTTGGAAGGGGGACCACTAGAAATCGCCTAGTCCAACCCTCCCACTGAAGTAGGATCACCTAGAGCACATTGCTCAGGGCTGCATCCAGGTTTTGAGTATATCCACAGATGGAGACTCTGCAACCTCCCTGGGCAGCCTGTTCCAGTGCTCTGCCACCCTCACTGTAAAGTTTTTCCTAATATTTAAATGAGGAGTGTTCCAACTTGTACCTGTTGCCCCTTGTTCTGACACTGGGAACTACTGAGAAGCCTGTCTCCATCTTCCTTGCATCCACCATTTAGATGCTTACAGGCATTTATAAGGTCTCCCCTCAGCCTTCTCATCTCCAGACTGAAGAGCCCCAGCTCTCAACCTTTCCTCATAAGGGAGATGCTCCAATCCCCGTCATTCTCATCACCCTCTGGACTCTTTCCAGTAGCTCCCTGTCTCTGTGCACTCAGTAAGTTTGCTGATGATAATAGAGTAGGAGTAGCTGTGGAGTCCCCTGAGGGTAGAGGCCTTACAGGTAGATCTGGATAGACTAGAGAGCTGGGCAATCACCAGCTGTGTGAAATTTAGCAAGGCCAAGTTCAGGATTCTTCATCTAAGAAGGGGCAGTCCTGGTTATCCGTATAAAGCGGAGGATGAGAGGCTGGAGAGCAGCCCTGTGGGAAGAGATCTGGGGTGTTGGTTTGATGTCAAGCTGAATGAGTTAACAGGGTGGCCTGGCAGGCCAAAGGGCCAGCTGTGCCCTGGGGTGCACCCAGCACAGCAGAGCAGGCTGGTCAAGGAGGGTGATGGTCTGACTGAGCACTGTCCTGGCACAGCCCCACCTTGAGCACTGTGGGCACCCCAACAGGAGACAGAAATCAAACCATGGGAGCATGTTCAGAGGAGGGTGAAGAGGTCTCAAGAGCAGCTGAGGTCACTGGGCTCGTTCAGCCTGGAGAAGGCTGAGAGGGGATCTCAGGGCAGGCTACACCTTCCCCCTGGGGGGCAGTGGAGGAGACAGTGCTCATCCCCTCTCTTTGCTGGCCAGCAACAGGGCACGGGGAGGAGGAATGAAGCTGCAGCGGGGGACGTTCAGACCGGACATCAGGAAAAGGCTCTTCCCCGAGAGGGCAGCGGGTCACCGGAGCCAGCTCCCCCCCCACAGCGGTCACGGCACCAAGCGCCTCAGGGCCCAGGAAGGGCCTGGGCGACGCTAAACACGGTTTGATTTCGGGTACGTTCTGCGGGGTCTGGCCGAGCCCTCCCGGTCACACCGGCGGGTCGGTGCGGGGCCGAATCGCTGCGGGGATGGGAGAGCGGGCGGTGCCGGGCGGTGCCGCGCCGGGGCAGCGTGGGCCGGCC